AACCCTAAACCCTATCTTGACACACAGAAGCCGTTCTAAAGCCAGCCGCTGTCATCGGACGGCCCTGAAATGTCTCGTGGCCTACATATGGGTGGTTGTCAAAATTATGGTCCCTTTTTGGGTACCCCTAAATATTAGGGGCCGTATTATAGTAGGGATCCAAAAAGGGACCATAATTTTGACAACCAACCATATAAATATATATATATATACATATGTTCCCCGTAAGTAGATAGACTATGGGGTATATGGGGATCTTATTACAATATACCCAAATCTATGTTCTACCTACTTAAGGGGGACTCCATAAAAGAAAAAAGTAGATATACATGTATACAGATTGGGAAGTGAAGCTCAGGATTGCTCAGCCCTAAACCCTGAACCGTGAGACCTTCAGCCAAGAAAGAAACCTGAAGACTAAACCCTGAACCGTTAACCTGCACCATTTAACCCTGTACCCATATTATGGTAGCTTAAGCCCTAAACCCTATATACCCATATTTCGGTAACGCATTTTGAATTCCTTAGCAGCAACCCAGTGAACCCCAATGACCTGCAGCCATGGCACCGAGCGCCCTCTGCTTGTCACTGTAGCAAGGGGATGCTGGATTTGCTGAATGGCTCCTTGGCCGTAAACTGGATTCTAGATTCTAAGCAGGTTATGATAGGGATCAGTATGGTCATAAGTCCTACAATAGCGGTTGAGGCTTCGAAGTCTAGTCTGGAGGGGTGTTGGAGGTTTGGCGTTCTGCAGCAGGTTTGTTTTGGGGGGCTCAAGGTTTAGGCTTCAGGGTCTGTCTCTTCTTCCCACAAACTCTTGCTAGAGTTGCTGGGACCCAATGCCTCAAGCTTAGACTTATTGGGTAGGTCAACCTGCGGTTTAGTTTTCTGCGTGGAAAAACATTCGATCTACGTTGGATGATGCCCCCACCCAGTAGCAGCTGGACCCTAAAAAACCGTCAGCCCTTAATGATTGTAATTTAAATATACACAGCCCCTTATCTAACAGTTATATAATATGTTCTGCTACTGCTACTGGATGGGGGCAATACCCCAACTCTACACCTAAGTGCCCACCCAACCCCTAAAACCGAAACCCTGAACCCGAAGCCCCAAACCCCACGAAAATTAGGCAGGTTGAGGATGCTAACCCTAAACCCTAAACACTAAACCCTAAACCCTAAACACTAAACCCTAACTTCAGGGTTGACTCTAAACTCCACTCTCTGAAGCTCCCAAAGACCCTAGCTCTCAAGCCTGAAGCCCCCAACCCCAAAACACTAACCGGAGGCTAGTAGGGAATAAGGGAATATAATCCCCATATAATAACTTCCCCTATTCCCACCAGACCTTCGAGTAAGTAAAGTTTAGACCCTACACCCCATCAATACTCTAAACCCTAAACCCATCAAGCTTCACACTAGAGCTTGGTTTAAGCCGTTTAATGATTTGGACTAGCAGAGCTCAGAGTAACCTATGGGGCACAAGCATGTGGGCAACTTTCTGAAGTGTGGGCCCCTTATCGATTATATTACGGCACCTTATATTGGGGGGGGTACCAAAATGGGACCCTTCTTTTGGGAACTACCCATATGTTGGGGCTCAGGGCTCAGGGCTCAGGAGTGTGTAGGGCGGCGAGGGCTGAGGGGGACGAAGGGGCAGAGTTTAGGGTGCAGGGCTTCAGGGTTCAGGGTTTGGGTTGAGGGTTTGGGTTTAGGGTTTAGAGTCCAGTGTTCGGCCTTCAGAGTTTAGGCTAGGGTTTGGTACTAGGTAAGCTTGAGCCACCCGAGTTGGTTGCTCTGGGTACTTATCACATGTACTTCGGCAAGGTACTGATTATGAAGGACTCCCACACCCTGTGACGGAATCTGCCTCTTCGAAGGCCTCCCTCCAAAACCTAAACAGGAAGTCCATGATTGCACAACAACGCTGGAAGGACAACTGGCTAAGCCGTCAAACACATTTTTCAAATTATGGTCCCACACGTGTATATATATATACCCCTCCAAGTTGACTTAGTCTTCAAGATGGGGAACCACGATACAATCTCACAGAGCTCACAGGTTGAGTTTAGCGTCCCACCTTAATTGGGCGCTTCCTGAAACACATCCTACAGAACTGGGTTGCTGTTAAGGAATTAATTTAAGTTACTATATTGGGGAAACCATATTGATTTATATATATATATATACCCATTGTGGTAATTAACTTTACTTAAGATCCTTAACAGCAACCCAGTGAAGTGTTGTCAAGGCCTGTTGTAACTGACTCGACCTTGCTTCCGTTTCTGACTTTTATCTATGTAGATATCTTGCCCGAGCGTGAACCACCCTCTACACCCTACAAGCGATGCTACACATGTTCTCTAAGCCAACTCTTGGATTTCCGTTTTAGCGCTTGGGGTTTACTACTGTCTGTTTTTGCATGTATGAGACTTGACGAGCACGAAGGGATTTATGGTTTACACAGACCTGAAAGCCGTCCTCAGGGGATTGGGGGTTAGGGACTATCGAGGAGACCAGCACTGGGATGCGGATTCTCCCCTAAACCCCAAACCCTGTATTGTTTCCCTGTGCCAAGAGGCCGAGTCTTATTGAAGATCTCAGGGAAGGTTGCTAGAGGATGTGGGAAACCTTGACCGAAAACCATTGGCAGCAGAGGGGCTTTGTGCGCATAGAGCTCTTGGGTCTGGTTAATACGATATAGATATCAAGTAACATGCGGCATGTTTTTTTTTGTTTTGTATGAGTGGTTTGCAAAATGGGCGCTCTCCTTCTGGGTTTGGGGATCCAATATCTACGGTTCTGATCTTTTGCAGGGATAGTGTAAGCTCCTACTCGTCGTTGCGATCCTTGTGTTGGACTCTTGCTGTAGCTATGCGCCTTCATCTAGACATCCCGGCAAGCTGCCACTCTGGCCCAAGGGCAAAACAAGGTTTTAGGGTTTAGGATTTTGCGGTTTGGGGCTTGATCAGGGAGGGATACTGGAACGCATTCTCCAGCCTATCTTGTGGAGGGTTTTTTGAATGTTCTGCCCGAGAGTGGTCGTTGTCACCATAGTGACAAATACCTCCAACCCCGAATGCCTTCAACTTAGTGCCCGTAATCCATTACGCACAAGGCACACCCTGCTGAGCTGTAGGTCCCTACTTAATCCTGAACTGCGACCCCCATAATCCATACATCTTGAGGGTCCCTTAGGGTCCGTCTTCTGAGAAATGCCCAGATATCCGTAAGGCTCCGACCAATGGGTGGTGGTACAGATAGTGGCATAGATAAGGGAGAGGCGGCGGTGCCCTGACTCGGGATGTGATAGGGTGAATCTGCAGTCTGCACATGGAGGGAGTCTTTTGCATCACGGTTTAGGGTTTAGGGCTTAGGTTTTGGGTTTCGGGTTATACCTTGCGAATTACAGATTTCCTCCATCCACCGAGCGATTTAATTACATGATTACAATAGTGGGGCATCACATGGAACAGGGATATGGAATGGAGGGGTGATGTGGTGGAGGTTCGCGGGCTTGCAATGTAGGGCTTCAGCAATTAGACTGGGGAGTACATCTATAGTATAATTACATAATGGGTTGGCAAGGATGAATACTGCTACTTCATCTTAAGTGCCTCTGCCAAGTCGGGTTAGGTTTGGGGTAAGTTGGTGAGGTCGTGTGTGCGTGCAGCTTCGGCTAGTCAAGATGCAGCTCACTTTAGGATTCAAAAAATGGGGGACCCCAGAAAGACCCCAATCTATTACAGTCCTTATTATGGGGAGCCCCAGAAAAGATACACCCTAATTTTGGGAAACCCTAAACCCTGAATCCTAAACCCTACATATCCCTCTATAATCCCTATAAAACCCTATATATAACCCCTTTAAGAGTACTCTTAATTCAGGGAAACCCCCAAATAGCCCTCCACTCACTTTGTCATCTGCGAGGTTTGGGGGTCTATGGTTCCGGCGATCACTAGCGATCACTAGTCAGCACTCGCACGACATATAGTCCCCTTTAAGTAGATAGAATATGGCTTTGGGTATATTATAACAAGATCTCCATATACCCCATATTCTATCTACTTCAGGGGGACTATAGCCTCAAGACGCACCCCGATACAGCCTGCAAGCAAATGGCTTGTCGACCCAAATTGCACGCCCTGGTTCCACACTTGAAGAAAGCCACTTGTCGACCAGCTTGTTTAACAGCCTCTCACTTGAGGCCGACGTGCTAAGCCTGGAACCGACAAGAACTGCCACCCTGCCTGCGCTGCGGGTAGGCGCGTGTCATTCAAGTAGCCTTGTCTTGACCAAAGGGGAAGGCAAGTTTGGCAAGTTGAGGGTTGGGCTCAGAACGTACGCAGCAATTAGCTCTCTGCGCTACAGCACTTGGCTTTTCAGTTCCTTAAAAA